CAGATGAGGGAGACAACTGTTTAAAAAGGATATGTGATTAGGTGTTATTGTCATGACAGGAGTCCAGAATGAAGGCTGCATAGTGGAGTGGACTTGGGGGAAGGGATTGCATAACAATGAAAGAATTTTTCTTTTACTTTTCAAAGAGAAGAGCGAACTGGGGGGAGGGGTGGGCAGGGAGAAAAGTGCAACAATGGATGAATGGAAATCCAAAGTCTCTGTAAACGTTCATTAAAATTAACAAACAAACAAACCCCCCCCCAAAAAAAAACCAAACACAAAACCACCAAACAACTCACTGTCGTCAAGCTGGAATTAGCTCACAGCTGACCCTTGAGCAGGGTTTCAGAGGTTGTAAAGGGCATTGATGATGGCCCCTCTTTCTCCTGCAAAGAAACTAGTGGATTCAAACTGCCGGACCTTGGGCTGGTGGTACAACTCTTTACCCCCTAGGCCATTCCAGATCTCGATGCACATATTTCCTTTGGGATCGATGATGACTTTTGCATCCTTGGGATTTAGATTTTTTCCTTCTCTTCCCCCCCCTTTTCTTGTTTAAGCAACTGTGCATGAGTTTCTGGTTTTTTGAAACTAGAGAAAAGTGACCTTCATGAAGCCTCAGCTACAAAGGCCTGAGGAGAGAGCAAACACCTTCTTGGTTTCCAGATCGAGTCTCACTGAGCTCTCACTGACCTTGACTGAGTTAGTAGGTCTGTGTGCTAGATGGTGAGATGCTCAAGGGCAGAAAAGAGTCATCTTCATGTTTGCACTGCAGGGTGCCCAACCCAATGTCCAACAAGTGTGGACACAAGTGAAACATTGCTTTTGAGTGACAAACAAAGCTGTTCTGACCCGTGTGATTCTTTTAACAAAATTCCCCTAAAACTTTCCTTCTTCAGTTTTGGTAAGACTTTGGGTTAAGACAATGGTGTGAGCTCCTGACTGTCCAAAGCTGCTCTCTGTCCCAATGTAGGACGCAGGACCAGGTCTACCCTTGTGGGTCCCGGCTCCCATGGATTCCAGCTGGAAGACCTCAAGGGTTCTCACCACACGAGGACAGCCAACTGCAACATGACACTCTCCTTAAACAAATGGAACAGAAGCGAAGCTAAGCAGTGGCTGAGTGAGGGAATGTGGACTCCAGGCACAGGAAACGAAGACCCCCAAACGGTGGAGAGGAGTGGGGGGCACAACAGGAGACTGTGGCTTTGCTGACACCAGTCCATGTCCTCGTCAGTTCTCACGTGTCCAGTCATGTAGAAAGCCATCTCTAATATCGAGCACATAGAAAGACAGAAGAAACACAAACCCACACACGTGTGCACACGTGTCTGAACTGCTCAGCGAGAAACCTGCCTTTCCTGAGCCCAAACATCAGACTGAGTTTGTTCCTCACACACGGGCCAGAGGGATGCTCAGCAGCGAGGAAGCAGAGTTTAGCAGAAGGGACGGGAAGGAGAAGTAGGCCTATCTGTAGATTAAACAAATGACAAATTGGCAGATTAAAAAAAATTAAGATAATATCCACTCTTGGGAAATACATAGACAAACAGGCACTTCTGAGTCACTGCCTGTGGGAGGGCGAACTGCTATAAGAATGGTAGTAGGCAATCTGCAATCTGCACTTCCAAGGCCTAAAGTGTGCACTCATGTGGAGTGGGTAATTCCATCTCTAAGGTTTCAGTCAAGAGAGCAGAAGTCATGCTGCATTGGGGAAGTCTGCTGTCAAGGATCTCTCCAAAGAGCACACAAGTCAGTTTTAAGACTCAGGTGTGGGAGCTCTGGTGGCCTAGTGGCAAGGAACTGCAACTACAATCCCAGAGGTGCACGGTTCAAATCCACCAGATGCTCTGCCGGGGAAGGAGAGACAATCTCCTCCTGTACCAGTCAGATCTGATTTGATGGCACACTCACACAAAAATAATTTAAAAAATTTGAAAAAAAAAAAAAGACTCAGGTGTGCCTGACCCAAGCCATGGCATTTTCACCTACTTCCTACGCATCTGAAAGCTGGCTAGTGAACAGAGATGACAGAAGAAGAACTGATACCACTGACTACTGTGGTATCGGGGGAAAGTACTGAGTATCGCATGGAAGAACACACAAGTCCGTCTTGGAGGGAGAGTAATCTCAAAGTACAACAAAGGCAGTCGTTAGAGGCAAAGGGAGTGAAACCTCATCTTACATACTCTGCGCATGTTGTTAGAAGAGGCTGGTCCTTGGAAAAGGGGATCATGTGGGGAAGAGTAAAGGGTTGGAGAGAGAAAGGAAGACCCCAACAAGATAGACTGACAGTGACTCAATGGGCCCTAACGTAGTAGAGATGGTCAGGCTAGATGGTCAGGATAGAGCGAGGTTCAGATCTGTTGCTCAGAGAGTTGCTAGGAGCTGTGGCTGACTTGATGGCACCTCACAACAACAACAAAGATTTCATCCTAAGGACACAATGAAAAAGTCTGTCTCCACTAACATTCCTTCATTGCAGTCACCTTACGTGTGAGTCAAGCTTATCCCATATTCCAACACCAGCGGGTCAGATAAGCAAACAGTAGAGAAAGTGGCCCTCTGACGCCTTAAGACGGTGCTGGAGACAGATTTTAACAAGGAAAATTGTTCACAACACTGTTTCCGGTGGAAACACAGATTGCAAAACAGTATAGGGGCTTCTAAAAACCCGGGCATCAGAAACAACCTCTCTAACCTCCTAAGCAGAAACTTTCTTTCTAACAATACGTTCAGTATCTTCTTCTCTACCCTCCGAAACCTTCTCTGCTGAAATGATTTCAGGTTAAATGGAAAGCAATCAGTGAAATTATTAATCAGAAAAAAATATAGTAAACACTATTTCCTCTGTGTTTTCAGACTTCTTGGGCACTAAGAAGTATATTGACTATTTTTTTCCTTTCAGATTAATAGTTTGACTTAACCGCGTTAAAATCAGGAGTACTTCTAGCTTGAAGAGACACTGTATAATTACTGGAAAGCATAACTTAAATATTTCTTAAAAATAAGTTGATTCTAGGAGAATGTCTAGTATCCACGTTGAGTAGAACATCAAGATGAGACAAAGTATTATGCCCATGATGGTTATTCCTAGGCTCTAGACTTCTATTTTAATTGATGTATTTTCATGTTTGACCATTTGTGTAAGTTCCAAAGGTATGCATTTAATTTAAGACATCTTTGTGGGGAGTTCTGGTGGCCTACTGGGTAAGAAGATGTGCTACCAACCCCAAAGTTTGTGGTTCACATCCACCAGCTGCTCCGAGTGAGAAAGATGGGTAATTCTCTCCCATGCAATTTAGTGCCTCTGAAAACCCACTGACGGGTAAGTTATGAGTCAGGTCTGACTTGAAAATACACAACAACAATAAGCGGTCCCTGGTGCTGTTTTAGGTGCTGGGATACAACAGTCCCCATTTAATGGCAACACTGTGACATTTGATAGTGATACTAATGGCGTTAGCATTGAATTCACATTAACAAACATAGCTGTTGTTGTTGCTGTTATGTGCCGTCGAGTCACTTGCAACTCATAGCGACCCTATGTACAACAGCCCTAAACCCTGCTCTGTCCTGTGCCAATCTTATTGTCTCCAACATGCCTATCTCCATTACCCCAGTCACTGAATCAATCCATCTCATCGAGGGTCTTCCTATCCTGCGCTGTCCCTCCACCCTCCCAAGCATGACATCCCTCTCCCAAGTAAAAGGATCCCAGATATTTAAGAGAAGGGTGTGAGGCCAATAAACCATCACTTGGTGTTGGAACATGTCCTTGAGAAAGTGATGCTGAGAGCAAGATGTGAAGGATGTCACCTGGGAAGGAAGACAGCGACAAATCCTGAGTCACCTACATGAGAGCTCCCAGGGAGCTGGAAGAATTTATGAAGATGCTACCCAGGTGCTACTCCAGACTTGGCATCAGATTTAGGTTTCTAGAATCTTCTAGACAGAAATCTTTAAGAGGACAGGAGCAAAGAATTAAGTTTGTGCTTTCTTTTAATGTTCTTTAAATAAATGGCAAAGCCCTCTATTCCTAGTTGTTGTATCTCATGTTTCTTAAAGTTAGGCTTTAAAGCTTTAACGTTAGGCTCCCACTGTCATATATAAGGACTGGTGGTAACTTCGGGAGGGATAGTAAGATTAGATACCCTTCAAACCAGGACCTGAGTGTTTCTCATCTCCAATCCTGGGATCACCTTTCTCTCAAACAAATAACAGCCCTATAAAATGAATAACACCAGGGAGGGACATGGTCCTCATGACAACCAGCCATACAAGATCAAAAGAACAGCACATACCCCCAAAGCTTGGAAGGCAGTAAGAGGCAGGAAAGGACAATTGGAAATGGGGAACCCAGGGTGGAAGCAGGTAGAGTGCTGCTACTTTTAGGGGACTGCAACCAAATCATGAACCAATGTGTAAAATCTGTTAAATGGAAAAAAACAAAACCAAAAAACCCCAAAACTGTTAAATGAAAATTAACTTGCTCTGTAAAGGTCCACCCAAACCACAAGAAAGTTGAAGATGGTGATACACAGTGGAAGACGTAATTAATGACACGGAACAATACGCCTAGATATTAGTACATGCAAATCTAATGTGCTGTGTAAACTTTCACGAAAAAAAGAAATCATTTTTTAAAAAAACAATGAGACATGAAACTCTGTTCTCCCTCTAATGTTTGTTGAACCATCATGTGTGAAAGGCTCTGAGAGGAGTCGGGTTTCTACTCCAGGCTCCACATGACACCGTCCTTCCTGTACCTGTGCCAGACAGGAAGCGTCCTCCAGGAAAGCTGTTTGCAGGAGCTCTGACCCTGGAGAGGCAGGGGAGCTGGGGAGAGAGATGCCGCGTGTGTGTGTGTTCATTCCACGGGGCCCTATGCTGCACTGTGTGTGTGTGTGCTCCATGGGCCCCTATGCTGCACTCTGTGTGTGTGTGTGTGTGTGTGTGCGTGTGTGTGTTCCACAGGGTCCTGCGGCCGCCAGACTCACCTTCCAGAGCAGAACAGCCAGCAGCAGGAAGATGAGGATACCCACCAGCAGGCTGATGGCGATGATCCACCCCACCACGTAGCCCCGGGGCTCCAGGTTGTGCAGCGCTTCAAAGACCACCTACGGGGCAAGACAAGAGTCAAAACACTTCCCAAACCTAAGTGCCCAAGGCTTGATTCCATCCAGCTGGGCCTGACATTTGGTGGGAGCCTAAGATACTGTCCAGAGTATAGAGACCTGAGAAGTGAACTCTGCTGAGTGCTTGCCTGGTTTATGCTATTGGATTTTTTTTTAAACCAAGTACTTTAAGCAAGACATCTGCAATCTGCTATAGATTGAATTAGGTCTCAAATGATGAGTTGGAAATCTTAACTCTAAACTATGATTAAAATTCCATCTGGGAATTTTTTTTTTCTGGAAACATGTTCATTTGCTGTTCTTTTATTTTAAATTTATTTTAATGAAAGTTTACAGAGACTTTGGATTTCTAGGAATGGGTTTTCTCTGTTATGTTAGTGACACTGAGTATGTCTTAAATTAGTATGTTCTGAGATATAAAAGAGATCAAATGTATTATTTTCCATGGATGAGAGGGTGTCGTGCAGTTAAATTAGAATGAGCTCTCTGGTAACAGGTCCTGAGATTGCATTTACCATGTGAAAAAAGACTTCAAAGTGGGAGTCTTGGAAAAACGGTCTTTTTTTCTGAGGTCAGCAAGCAGTGTCTAAACTCATGGGTCCTGAGATTTCCCCTTTTCCTTTTCTAGCCTTTAATAAAGTCTTGTTGATGCCCCAGAAGTGCCTTCTCTTCTGGTCTCTAGAGTTTCGGCTGCAGAAGTGAGATAATGAAGGGAACATCACCATTTGGAGAGCGTTACAGTAAGATGCACGTATTGTGCTGTTGCTGTGGTCCCAAGCCCTACCATCTCTAGAAGCCCACCTGTGGCAAGAGTGGCTACCCAGACAAGTGCAAGAGGAAGTAGAACCGGAGGGCTGAGGTGAAAAGGCAAAATCCCACTGGTCTTGGCTGTGCGAGGCACCTAAAAATTGTACACCACAGATTCAGGCATGGATTCTGTGAGGGAACAACACCGAAACCCAACAGGGCAGCTGTTGTAGCATCTAGTTCATCTCAAGAATTTCAATGTTTTGTTTTGAGATAAATGGTCTAGTTTTGTTGTTGTTGTTGTTGTTGTTGTTGTTGTTATGTGCCATTGAGTTGCTTGCGACTCATAGCGACCGTATGTATAACAGCCCTAAAAGCTGCTCTGTCTTGTGCCAATCACACTGTCTCCAATATACCCATCCCGATTACTCCAGTCACTGAATCAATCCACCTCATAGAGGGCCTTCCCCTCCTGCGCTGTCCCTCCACCCTACCAAGCATGATGTCTCTCTCCAAGGACTGGTCTCTCCTTAAAACATGTCCAAAATATGTCAGATGAAGCCCCAGAATCCTTGCCTCCAAGGAGCAGCCTGGTTTAACCCTCTCTACGATGAATCTGTTTGTTTTCTTGGCAGTCCATGGTACATTTAATACTCTTCTCCAGCACCACAGCTCAAAGGCATCAATTCTCCTTCTATCCTCCCTAGTCATTGTCCAACTCCCTGACACATAAGAAGTGATTGAAAAGACCATTATTAAAAAAGAAAAAAAAATAAGAGTGGGCAAACAGAGATGGGAAAAGGCAGATGCAGACCACATTGTATGTAGTATGTTCATTTTCACTGCTATATAATATTCCACCATGTTGATGCACCATTCCACTGTTGACAGGCTTTAAGGTAATTTCCTGTTTAGAGCTATTACAAAGAGTGGTTTCCAGACCACCAGCAATGCTGAGCGAGGAACATGTGAGGGTGACAGGTGATGGGATAGGAATAAGCTCTGAAGCTGTCATCTTAAGCCAACTATTTTCTATCAGATTCATATTAGAGATTCACGGTTTTAAAAAGGGACGCACATCTTTGGATTCCTGCCTCTAGATAGCTGCAGATCAAATCACCTCTTCATTCAGAACCCCTTACTGTACTTATACAGATGAACTAAGAAGCACCTTGCCCAAGAAGAATGATACAGAGGTAAAACGACTTGTCACTGAGGAACCTTCTGTATCAACAAGGTCTGGTTTAATCAGTGCAGACTTAGGCAACTCAGACAAGACTCGCCGTTTCCTCCTCTGTGAAATGGGTGTCTGGAAGGGGAAATAAGACAAACATAGCAAAGCACCTAGTACCCTAATAAAAGCCTGCTAAACTCTCTGGTTGAATGATAATGAATTACTGAGATGGACTTAGTTGTAAAGTCTAGTCGTGTAAGGTAAGTAACTAAGATGGCTTCTTAGGAACACCGCCTGCCTCCAGGTGTCCGGAGCCTACATCCCCCCAAGGCCACACTGGAGGTCTGGTTTTCTGGATACTGAGACAGCTGGAGTATGTGCTATAGTTTAGTCTGGCAAACTCCACACGCACACCCTGTCACGTCCCTGGAATGTGCGCTTAATCTTTTCTTATTTTTAGTGATGTCATTCATCTTCTTGGACGCGAGCTTTACGCTTTGGCAGAGCCGATTCCCTCACATCACGACTGCCATCAATCCTTCTGTGGGTGATGCTGCGAGCATCACACAGTTCTGAGAAGTCAAGTCTTAGAATCCCAACAGCAGCATGGGCTACACGGAGAGTCAAGAAACTGTGACTGTCGGGCTTCTTTTCTACCTGCTACTGGGGCGATCCTGACCAATTCTTTCTTCTTCTCTAGCTAGTTCTGCTACCCATCCTCTTATTTCTACCCTTGACCTACAGCCCTCGTTCAGGCCACGTGCTCTCTCATCACCATTACTCTGAGGGCCTCAGCATCTCTCTGTCTTTCTACAACACAGGTCTCATTGTGTCACATCTCAGCTTACACTGTTAATGGCTTCTCTTGATATGAAGTAACTCAGGACATCAGGCCTGGTCTTCAAACCAGACGTCCCTCTTCGCAGCTCCTCCCAAGACACCTATTCAGGTTTTAAACTATGGAGACCTGTCTATTAAGCTGCTTTTGCCACCTGAAATGCACTTCCTTTCTTATATAATTTTTTTAAATGAAAGTTTATAAAGAATTTGGATTCCCATTCATTCATTGATGCACTTTCCTCCCTGCGAGGTCCAATATGTCTCATCTTAAAAATATTTATGTCCTTTTGTACATATAGATAGTGATAATATACCTTTATGAATTTAAAAAGAACAAAAACTTTGAAGTTTGGAAACATACATGATAAACGCACAAAATGAAAGAAAAATATGTTACTGTGGAAATTTGACTGCTCAGAAGACTAAAAAGATACAAGGTAAAAGTTAATAAAGCTTAGATTGTAATGAAACAACAACAACAAAAAGACTTATGCCCTCCTCTATAAACTCTAGACGTGCAAATTCAATCAAAGGCAAGACATATAAATTATGTTTTGAGGATGCATATCATAAAATTATTTATGTTGGAACTTAATAAAAAATTATCAATAAGGTAGTCAAATTTACTATCTTTCGGTAAGGTAAGGCAACCAAATTTACTGTCGCTGGGTCATTTCTGACTCATAATGACTCTCCATGGGGTTCCCGAGGCTGTAAATGACAGGAGGAGATGGCCCACCTCTTTCCCATAGATACGAATCTCCTGAGATACAAAGCCTTTGGATTAACTGTGCAGCTTGCTTTGCACTGTGTTTTCTCAACAAGATAACAGTTAAGTAAAAGAGGGTCACCTAAAACCGATATATTACAGAGCTACTAAAAATGAGTTAAAAAACCCCCCTGGCTGACAAAGTGTAATTTTCAAAATAAAAAATAAAAAAAACCCAAACCCCAACCATGATTTACACCAATATTTACTGACCACATGTAAAAGATTCTCTTAATCCATTCTCGAATAAAGCCAGTCCAAAGAAGGCTCAGAAAAGCAGCACAAAGGAGGGAAGAATGCTGGAATTAGAATACAAAGTCCCAGACAAAACTGGCTAACATCCTACAGACAATAAACTAACATCTTGGGATTCTTTAACAGCCAGAAACCATCTTATTGGCAAAAGCCATTTCTAACTTGTCAATCCTTTACACGTTACTATAGAATGTCACAGGATCTGAGTCCAGAAGAGTTAGATAGTCCCTGGGCAGGAGGAGTGTCCAAATTTTAATATGTGCAGGATTCATGTGAGGAACCCTGCTAAAATGCAGATTCTGCATCAGGAAGTCTGGAATGGGAACCTGGGATTCCTATAAACTCATTAACATAAACTCCCAGATGGGGCAAGGGCTGCTGGTCCACGGATCATATTTTGAGTAGGGAGTACTTGAACATGCCAAGTTAAGGGTGGCAGCCCTCCTTTTGCTAGACCCTTGTAGGGTAGTGTATAACATGTCAGCATGCTAACCAAAAGGTCAGTGATTCGAACCCACCAGCTGCTCCTTAAGAAAAAGATGAAGAGTTTCTTCTCATAACGATTTACAGCCTCAGTCAACTATCTCAGTCACAAAAGGACAAATACTGCATAGCATCACTGTTATAAAGCAGGACTGATACGGAGGTTTGGGAGGAGACTAGGAAATGGGTGGGAAGACAATGAACACTGCATGGGCACAGATCATGAACTGTTTAAAAGGAATATATGATTAGGCATAATATATATGACAATAGTCCAGAATAAGAGGTACATAGCAATCCCCAGTAGACTGGGGAGAGGGGAAGAGGAGGAGGAAAGAGGTAGGAAATTGTGCAACAATGAATGCATTAAAATCCAACTTTTCTGTAGACTTTCGTTAAAATCACATTTAAAATTAAAATTTCATTATTTTATTTTTTTAAAGAAAGATTTGCAGCCTCTGAAACCTATTGGGACGGGGCTGTGAGTTGGAGGCTGATTGCCGACTCTAAGTCTTAGATACTTTTGAAACATAGTGAGAGTATGTGGAAAACGGTAACTGTTGTAATATTAAATGGAATAAGGCCGGAGCAATAAGCAAACATTTAAAATACTCAGCTCCAGTTATGCGGAGTGGACTCAGTTCCACAAGGACAAATCCGATATAAAACCATTATTGTAGAACGAATATAAGGGTCCAAGGTGGGGGAGGGTGG